CTAACTTAATGAAGCAGCTAAATTGCAACTACATTTGCAAGTAAGGTAGGCTGATGAACTGTAAAATAAAGACAACACAGCTATTATTGTTTCACACCCTTAGAAGGTGGTATGCTAAACTTCAGTGCGTATGAAAGGTCATGTACTGGTAAAGTCTTTGCAAATTCCTTAATTTTAAAATTTTTCAAGAGATCAGAATCTCTAGAGACTGTAAAGAATCAGTGAGACTTTTATGTTTCAAGACCCTGCCGCTGAAGGTTTGTTACATGCTTAATTACATTCACACCCAAGATAACATACGTGTTGCTATGTGTGCTTCCAATGCTTTCTTTGCCTGGTATGTCCCAAGCTTTTAGATGAATCTATGCAGTGACTATTTTCACCGTTTAATCTTTAGTTTTAACTACTTAGAACATCAGTTGGATTAATCTGCAAAACTTGAATTTTAGTAGTAACAATAAATTGTTTAACTGGAAATTAGTTTTAACTACTTAGAACATCAGTTGGATTAATCTGCAAAACTTGAATTTTAGTAGTAACAATTAATTGTTTAACTGGAAATTTAATATTTAATTGTGTCAAAATTTAATTAAGATACATTTTTGGGGGAATCTTAAAATATGATGCCAGAATCAGGCTGAAAAAACATAACACCTCATTATGACTTTTATATATTTGTATAATTTCTTATTGCAGATCCATAATAACTCTTCAGCTGAATAGGGTGCTTCTTGCAGGGATCTCCTCCAATGCTTGCGGTGCAGCCAGGGGTCTGTGCTTTATGTGTGTTGTCCTTCCCATTATTTGGAAGGTTGATGGCAGCCTGAAAACTGCTGCAAGTTGTGAGCCAATCTGCCAGGTACTTTTGAAGAACTGCAGCTCATGGGTTTGTGGCCATGCTGAAAGCATTTAGCTGTGAACTGACAAGCTGATGGCTCTAAGTGCCGCTAAGAATATAGCCCTCAGATGGCTCAGTTGCACCTGTGCCATAACAGCAACTTGCTGATGTTAGAAAGCCACCCGCAAAAAATTTGAGAAAAGTTTGCTTGAGTTAAAAATACAGTGAACGATTCTTCACACTGGTCATTCTGGTATTAGATATACCTGCCTTGTGGAAAAGACAAGAATAAAATGCATGCACTGACAAGTCTGATGTGTTTGCACATCCTTATGACTGTTTTCTCCATTCAGACTGGTTTCCATCTTTGTAAAAGAGACTCCCATGTGTGGTGAGAAGAGAAAGAAAGGAACAGCAAGAAAAAGGATACCTATTGGTCTCTCAGTCAGTTTTGGCTTAGTCTCTAGTTGCTACTTTTAAGATGAGCATTGTGAATATAGGATTAAGCTATAGCTCACTTTTCTCTTTCTCCCAAAATGTACATCATTAGGGTAATATCTTCTCCACCTGACAGTAAATGGTATTTGTCAGACCTGTGGCTAACTTGGTCTCCCAGCAAAGTTGAGAAGCCAATGAACAATCAGGAGCACACACTAAAAATTTTAGTAATTTTTTTGTGTTGTAATAAATGTCATTCTGATTCACTGCTTCGCTGTCTATTGGCAGCAATTACTGAGCTGATTTTATTTTTATTACATATTAACTTTGTTAGTGTATTTTTAATAAAAAATATTTTGGGTCTAAAATTTCAGGTGCTAGGGAATGGAAGGAGGGTTGTATTTCCTGTGCCAAGCTTGCACAGTAGCCAGGACACCTGCATGTCCTGCAACATATGTGAGCGATGCAAGTGAACACACCTTTTTAGAACTTGTAATGCCATAGGCAAATCTCCTAAAATTTATCTCTGTTGGTAATATCATTGGAGATTTAAATGAAGTTCTTGAACTGACTTGGCTGAGTTTCCTGTTATATGGCCTTTTGAAGTTATTTTTTTGTTTGGGGTTTTTGTTTGGTTTCTTTTATCCCCAAAGCTGCTATTCTGGAAACATCGCGGTGCATGCTAGTGAGATGGGCAGAATGACAGGACATAGAGGAAAGCGGCTGCAATAATGGAGTGTGCCTAACCTGGCCAGACTTTTCTGCAGGCTAACTCATTCATAGTACTATTTGGAGTGCAGCAGTTGGTACATTCAGAACATAAGCGTCTTGGATCAAGAACCTGGGCAATATTCATATTTGTTGGTATGCTTTCCTTTCTTAAATGGAAAAAATGAGAACTCTGAGGAAAGCAGAAGTTTCTGTGCTTTTTATTAGAGTAAATGGAAATAAGGAACTCAAGAAATGAGATGCAATGCATTAAGTATCTCCCCTCCCCTCCTCTTTGCTTCTTTCTGTATGACCGTTTGACTTCAGCTCTGGCATGGCAGGCAGACAATGGCATTAGCTAATTTGGCTCTGTGTAGTGTTGAACATGAATATGAATTAGAGACAAGTGCCTGAGCTCTCATACTGACTTTTGTTTAGCTGTTAATTTGTTCGAATGTTAATGTGCCACATGCACATAAGCCCAATTAGGTTTGAAAATGCTTATTTTCTTTTCATGGCTTCTAAAAATTGAAGCTTTCTTTTATTTTATAAGCTATTTTAATCTGTTTTATTTCACTCAAAATAAAGAGGGTGTATAAACACATCCAAGGTTTAAAATTCAGTGGAACAGTGCACTATGACCTTCTGACTCTTACATTAAAAGTAAATGAAAAATGACTCTAATAAGAGTCTTACTTTGATATTTGCATTTAGTAGTGCCATAACTAACAACTGCGCTGGGGGTGAGTGGTGAGATTTCTTTAAAGTTTTACTTTACATCGGCGTTTTTACCTCTACAGCCAGAATAACCCTTAGTCTGGAGTGGGGATTTTTTTACTTCTTTCCATGGGCATTTTGTAAAGCTTAGCTTCTGAACTCTTTCTTATATGCTATAGCATTATGCATTATTGATCAGCATAGATGATCCTGCTGCTGCACAAAACTAAGGAAGATGTTCATCTAACATCACAGAGCTTACTTGCTAAAGAAATGTTGTTGAGAGAGAGTGGAAACTGTGAAATGGAAATATACTGGATTCTGTGGGCATTAACTTAATATTTTAACCTTTTATTAATAATTTTTTTTCAGAGGTTTTGCTTCCTGATACAGGTGCTCACATCAGTTACTTTGTTCAGAAAGAAGTCTGTGAGTCAGCCATTTGGATGTTTTAGAGCCCAGTGAAATTCAGTGACTTGAATATTATCTCTTATTTTGAGACTAAATGGACCTGCTAGACCTTTCAAAGTTCAGCCATCATTTCTGTCTAGTTTTGGGTGGAGTACAAAAATCTATGTACATTGCATGAAATTTTATTGAAGTAAGAAATTGTCTGTGTCTTCTGAAGCTGAAATTAGGAAACAATTAGAAAAATTTAGTGGTACTAGCATTCATTACTCACAAAAAACACTAACTGTAACAGCACATTAAAAGCCAACCTCCTGACTCTGCAATAAAAAGAAATTATGTTACATTAGTTTAGAGAAAATATAATGCTAGATGATCATTAGTTTCTTGGGTAGCAGTTCAGTTCCTGCTAAAATACAAAAGTAATGAAAAATGAAGTTTCAAGTTTAGATTTTCATATCTAAGCAGTGTTATTTTATTTAGATTAATTTTATTTAGGCTCCGAAATGAGCTGATCTGGGAACTCTCCCACAGAGGTGATATACTTCCAATGACTGATGAAGAGTAAACTGAAGTGGCGATACTTTGGGAAGGCCAGGGGGTATTGTAAATGGTCCGTCATGCTAAGAGTTTGTTTTTCAGTATGTTCAACTCACCATAATATTTTAAATGTTGAAAGACAGGGTAAGCCAGAATTTCAGCCAGCATCCAAGCCTCACATAGCTATTTGATTCATTGATAACATATTATTCCACATTAAAAAGTTAGGGAATTAACCAGTTTAGTGACACATAAGCAACAAAGTTTTGGCATGAGCTGGTTTATAACGATTTAACATGTCCTATGTAGAGCATAGAAATTACATAAATGCTGCTTTTCCCAATTTGAAGTCTATTAAAATGTTTAGGTAAGGCATAAAATTTTCAGAGGGAGCCTAATCTTCTTCCTGTTTACCAGGACCCATATAAGCTCCTAACTCACTTTCTGGTTTTGACACATTTTACCCACTTGCAGAAATGACATGAGTAAATACTTTAGCCATGATTGAAATTCAGGTGTTCCTGTCATATATGATTTTGCTCTGATCCCTAGGTAACACATCTTAGCATAACGGTGGTTTTGTCTGTTTTTCCCTTTAGTTCAATTTCTGAGGATACTATATGTGCATTTTTCCACTAAAAAGGGAAATATATTTAATATTAAAACTGAATCATGGATATCAGGTCATATGTATTTATGGTTGAATAAATGTATACAGCGACTGTCATTTGTGTTATTAAATTTTTACTGATTTTTATAACTAAACTATACCTAAAGTATTTTTGAGTTTCTGAAATACATGTCTATTCCCAGGTCAGGCTAAATTTCTTTATATTAGCTAGTTGAAATGGTAACAGCAGCGGGTGAAGCCATAATATTTTATCCAATGATGCCTGTGTCACATTTCATGCCAATTATTATATCTTAAGAATTCAGTTATATGAAATTTTATCTACAACCAGCTTGTGCTCTCTGGATTTTCCATTCAGTATCACTGAGCAGAATTCTAAGTTTTTGCATCAGACAATGTGCCGTTCAATGGTTAAAATATTTCTAAAAAGGGTGGGAAAAAAATCCCTCAACAGAATGAAAAATTTTTCGGATACAGTTTTTGGATGATGTCCAGTTTCTACATTAAAAATGCTTTCCAACACCAGACGAAGGCTGAATCATAACGACTCATTTAATACCATGTGCTCTCTGAAAAGAAAATGAGATCAGTAGTTAAATGAAATGCCCACAGATCCTGGGCATGGTGCACAAGATCAATGAAGATGATAATGCAGAGATGTGGGAGGACACTAAACTGGTCTGTTACTTAAGATTTATTTTGTCTTCCTGAATCTTTCAGAGTGCTCTATGGAAACAAGATCACAGAGATTCCCCAGGGCCTTTTTGATGATCTTGTGTCTCTGCAGCTGCTGTGAGTATGATCTGTTCCTCTTCTTTATTGTACAGACTAGCTAGATTTACTGTTTTTTCAGCTTCTGACATTAATATAATCACCTTTCCACTGCAAACTCACTGGGACATGAGTTTCTGTTGTTTCTGTGTCAGGCAAGAGGGAGGCAAGAGCTGAAAAAAACAAAAGGAAGGTGCCAACAGTTTTATAGCACAGTGGGTATAATGGGTAATAGACACAGAGGATTTAAGTGTGGGGAGGAAATGAGAGACTCGGTGAAGTCCAAGAAAGGAAATTTGGTCACCGTCTGATGTGCGGGTGGGGATGCCATCTGATTGTTTTTACACATTTAGCATTTGTGGTTGAATATCTAGATCCTTGAGGGCTACTGTGTTGCAAGTACCTGCACGTGCAAGCAAAATGGTAATACGAAAGATCTTATTGTTGCGAGCCATGCTCAGTTCCATCTTCTTATTATGCCAAATGTGGCTTAGCTGCAGGAGAAATGATTTCAGAATATATTGCATATTTGAGTATTTTATGCCATGTGTGATTTAACACACAGTCATGATCAGGGGTAAGATATATATCATACACTCTAAAGTATTTATTAATGTAGCATAAAAAATTTCCTAAGCCAAATGTGAAATCGCAAATTTTACTCACTCTTGTCTCCATAATCACATTGGGAACCAGTTAACTCCTTCAAAGAGAAGGAAATCGGCTACTATTTCAGCCAGTCAGCAGAGGGAGCAGAAGTGAAGTGAGCTTAATATGTATTCCTAACGTTCTGATTACCACCATGGATGATGCACTCAGAAAGTAAAGGTGATATATGGTAAATTAACCCATTCTGGTTTGTATCACACACAATCCTCCACCCCCAAATGATAAATTATATAAAATATAAAATAAAAAGTAGCTTTTAGACATGTTATTTTAAGCCTTTCTGACTGTCTTGACATAACCAGAAATGAATATCCAAAAGTTCATGATCACCATTGAATGTGTCACTCTATTATTGTAGTCTTTGCTGCACTTATGTGCTATATAAAAATAAGCATAGATTTAGATTAGAAATCCATGAGCAAAGCCAAAGAACTAAAATAGGAAATAGTTGAAATTGCTCTGTATGTTAAGTGAAGGACTACTCAGACATGTAATTTATCCATAAGATCTTAACTGCAAAGATGGACAACCCTATTCTAGAGAAGGACAAGCAAGAGCACATATGGTTTGGTTATGACAATCCTTGAGCTGCGACGGTGGGAAGCCATTTATCTCCTCCTGCACACAGCCAATTCTTTTGTCTTCACCTTTTGCACATACTTTTTCTGGCAGCTCCTTTCCTCTCTCCTGTCCCATATCTCACAAGTTTGTTAGTACTTCAGTGTCTTCACGGCCAGCCTGTGCAGTAAGAGAAGACCGTGTATTTAGGGGGGAGGTAGTTTGCCATGTGTGAGAACAATAAGCATGAAAGTGCTTACAAGCTGGGACTCAGTACATGTTGACAGAACTGGCATGTTAGTCATTGTCAGACTCGGGTTGTGTTCGGTACAATGAAGACGCTGCAAGCAAAAGGAGAGCTAAAACTTAACTTGCCACTTTGACCTCTGAGAAAGAAACTATATTAAAAAAATCTGAGCTTTATCATAGTCCTCCCCCACAAATATTTTATCGTTGTAAGTTCGAAGTGATACACGGTTGCTCTATCTAACCCAGGACACTTTACAGATAGGATCTTTCCCAGTAGAAAAAAAAAATAAAAAATCACTCAACACATGGCTCACCCCATAAAAATGTGGGTCTAAAACTTTGCATAAAGCATTAAGCAGGTTTCAACGCCTTTATACTGTAGTCCTTGTGTGCATGTAGTGCAGGCTTTCAATGAATTAAGCCCAGATGCAGTAATTTTCCAGTCTGAATTAGCTCAAGTGGTGCCTTTTTGTTAAGGGAGCAAAATCTATATGCCAGAGAACCATTAAAAGGTGTTGTACTTCAACAGTTTAAACATTCTCAAGCTGAGAAGTTGCAAGTAAGTTGCACCATTATGGGATTCCCAGAGTATTGTGGCTCTGGAGCCTTTCAGGGTCTTCTTGAAAGTGTTTGAATGTAAAGTAGCTTTTGGCAAGGAGAGCATTGAATGATCATGCTTTAAATGCAAACAAATGTCTGCACACTCTTCTGATCATGGCTTCGAAGCAGCTATTATGGGATTGCTTGTAGTGTTTTAATGGATACCAAAAAAATAAATAGCATTCGTTGGCTTTAGACCTGCTGTTGAACAGTTGGAAGAGTGCCCTATGATTAGATCTAATTTAGTGTTCAGTGGGCTCTAGATTGGATTTTTTCTTATTAGTCTGGAGACACACTGATAAGAACGCTCTGATTAAGGTATCCTGGTAGCCAGTATAATTTTCTAAGCTTCAGCTGGAGCATTTTTGAAAATATACTGGCGTTATGGTAAAGCAGGACACAATCAGAAAAAGGGAGTCATTGTGGGTTCTCTATAAAATTGTTGAGATTGTATTTAGAAGGAAAAAATAATTACTGTGAAATTGCAGAGCAGATAATAGTTATTTACTGTTTTGTATAAGACTCATCAGAGTTTCTCAGAAATGTCATTATCCTTCTGTTTAAACATACTGCCACAATATAGGCCCAGATTATTCCACTTTTATTCTGGCAAAATTGTTTTGTGTAAGTGCCTTACATCTGCAGACAGTACCACTGATGTCAGAAACACTGTAGCTGGGTAAAATAATGCTCAGCTCAGGCATGACAGCATGTTAAACTGCCCCATTTGACTTTGGTGTATGGGAAATGAAGAATTCAGAACAAGTTTTAGACCACCTGGCTAGCATTAGAATTCTGTATTTCTGTCATATAAGGCAGAGGTGGGTAATCCAATATTATATTATATTTGGCAAGAAAATAACCAGGCGTGGTTAGATAATAAAGTTTTTTTGTTGGGGGGGTGAGGGGGCTGTTGGTTTTGTTGGGTTTTTTAAACACTATTGGTTTAATTTAAAATGTTGCTTTTGAAGTCTTCATTATAATTAGCTATCTTAAGTAGTTAACATTCCCCACATAAATAATCGCAGTTGGATTTCTGTTAAATTGCTGATTTCACAAATCTTATGTCTTCCTAAATATGCACTTGTAACTAACACAGCAGCATACGTTATTATAGAAGGCCAACTACACATCCGTTCTGTGGAACAGAAGCTTTTCTTGGACCATGTCATTTCCCTTATCCTGTATGAAGTTGCCAGGAGAGAGGATGCTAGAAAGCTACTGTAGCTACTGTACCCTGTCCTCATACATTGTTCCTTTCAGCAGGCTGGATCAAGTGTCTTCTGAGAATTTTAGGTCAGTTTGGATTTGAGAGCGCTATACTGTTTTCCAGAAAGGGATCGCTTCGGCCACAACAACCCCATGCAGCGCTACAGGCTTGGGGAAGAGTGGCTGGAAAGCTGCCTGTTGGAAAAGGACCTGGGGGTGCTGGTCGACAGCCGGCTGAACATGAGCCGGCAGTGTGCCCAGGCGGCCAAGAAGGCCAATGGCATCCTGGCCTGTATCAGAAATAGTGTGGCCAGCAGGAGTAGGGAAGTGATCGTGCCCCTGTACTCGGCACTGGTGAGGCCGCACCTCGAATACTGTGTTCAGTTTTGGGCCCCTCACTACAAGAAGGACAT